CAGTCACTGCCTAAAAGTGTACAGTTAGAGCACCTACAAATTCTTTCTGGGACATCCCTAAAGGAAATTGGTAAAGATAAGTCCCCCAATGGGCAGAACTGAGAGGAGTGCACCTGGTTGTTGAAAGGAAGAATAGCTAGGTGTTTAACTATATTCTAGAGTGGTAGCCAATGATTTGGTTGTAGGGTTAGGGACTTGGAAAGAACATTGTATTAGTCAGGGTTCCCTAGAAGGACAGAACTAATAGGATATATATACATAAAGAGGGGTTTATTAAGGAGTATTAACTCACACGAACACAGAGTCCCACAGTAGGCCATCTGCAAGGAAGCCAGTCTGAGTCCCAAAGCTGAACAACTTAGAATCCGATGTTAGAGGGCAGGAAGCACCCAGCTTGGAAGAAAGATGTAGGCTGGGAGGCTAAGCCAGTCTAATCTTTTCCCATTCTTCTTCTTGCTTTTCATTCTGGCACGATGGCAGCTGATTAGATAGATGGTGCCCTCCAAATTGAGGATGGATCTGCCTCTCCCAGTCCACTGACTGAAATGTTAATCCCCTTTGGCAACACCCTCACAGACACAGCCAGGAACAATACTTTGCATCCTTCAATCCAATCGAGTTGACACTCAGTAATCCATCAAAAGTGGGCTGAAAAATTTGGGAGGCATTGGACAGACCTTTTTTTTTTTTTGAGACAGGATCTCACTCTTTTGCTTAGGCTGTAGTGCAGTGGGGTGATTACAGCTTACTGCTGCCTCCATCTCCCTGGGCTCAGGTGATCCCCCCACGTCAGCCTCCCAAGTGGCTAGAACTGCAGGAGTACACCACCACACCTAATTTTTGTATTTTTTTTTGAAGAGACAGGATTTCACAGTGTTGCCCAGGCTGGTCTCAAATTCTTGAGCTCAAACAATTCACTCACCTCAACCTCCCAAAGTGGTGGGATTATAGGCATAGGCCATTGCACCCAGCCAGGACAGACCTCTTTCAATGAGGGGAGAGAAATGAAGATGTATCCCATAAAATTTCACCAAAAGGTGACCTTAGCAGAGGAGGATTTTAATAATAAAGTGAATACAGGATAATCAAGTCTGTAGAATCCAGTCAGTCTCTCCCAGCCACCTCTGTCAGAACAGAGCTGGGGAAAGAGTCTAACTAGTATCCTCTTCATTAATGGCTCATGAACAAAGTGTCCATGGTGGCAAGAATAGAGTTCATACATAGGACCACCAATATGGATTTCCATTACCCAAGGCCAACCTGGATGCCACTGCTGAGTGCCCAACCTGTCAGCAGCAGACAACAACACTGACTCCCCAGTATGGCTCTATTCGTCTGGGTGTTCAGTCAGCTTTGTGGTTGATTACATTGAACTACTTCCATCATGGAAGGGGTAGCATTTTGTTATTACTAGAACAGACATTCAATACAAAATTTCATTCCTCATGTCAAAATTCTGCCCAAATTGACATCCATGGACTCATGGAATGCTATACCCATGGTCATGATATTTCATACAACATTGCCTCTGATCAAGGAACTCACTTCACAGCAAAAGAATTGCAGTATGGGTCCTTGCTCCTGGAATTCACTGGTCTATGTTCCCTACCATGCTGAAGCAGCTGTCCTAATAGGATAGTGGGATGGCCTTTTGAAGATGCAATTACAGCACCAGCTGGGGGAAATAACTTGCAGGCTAGGGCAAAGTTCTCCAGAAGGCTATATATATGCTCCGAATCAGCATCCAATAAATGGTACCTTTTTTCCCTCTGTAGCCAGGAATCAAGGGGTAGAAACAAAAGTGGCACCATGCATTATTAACCCTGGTGATCCACTAGCAAAATTTATTCTTCCTGGTCTCATAATTTGATGCTCCACTGGCTTAGAGGTCTTAGTTCCAAAGGGAGGAATTCCTCCACCAGAATATTGATTCCATTAAACTGGAAGTTAAGCCTGCTTACAGTGTTGGCTGGAGTGACTGATCCAGACTACCAAGGGGAATCTGAACTACTACTCCACAATGGTGGTAAGGAAGAATATGTCTGGAGATCTCTTAGGGTATCTGTTAATTTTATCACACTCTGTGATTAAGGCTAATGGAAAACTACAATAACTCAATCCAGGAAGGACTACTAATGGCTCAGATGCTCAGAAATAAAGGTTTGTGTTACCCAGCAGGTAAAGAACCATGACCATTGGAAGTGCTTGCTGAAGGCAAAAGGAATATGCATGGGTAGTGGAAGAAGGTAGTTATAAATACCTGCTACGATCGCTTGATTAGTCAGGCAAATATCTTTGTTTTTTTCTCTCTCTTATCCCCTTATCATATAATGTATTAATAATAGTTAACTTTCTATCACAGTTTTTAAATTACAGGATAGCAAGAAGGGTGAACATTGACCAAAATTTTGTATCCTTTTCTGGAGAGAGGGTTAGCACATTTTCAGTTTTATGCAGGACAATTGTAGCATGTTAGGCAAAAATATGACTTTATTATTGCCTTTATTTGGAGATTAAATATGGTTTAAGGAGATGCAAATGGATGAGTAGTTGATAAGGAATGTACTGCGATGGTTAGTTGTATGTGACAACTTGCCTAAGATATATTACACAATTATTCAGTCAAACTAATCTAAGTGTTGCTGCAAAGGTATTTTGTAGATATGGTTAATATCTATAATAAACTGTATATGAACTTGAAGGAGAGTATCCCTGATAATGTAGGTAGGCCTCATCCAATCAGTTGAAAGGCCTTAAAGCAAATCTTAAAAAGTTTATCTGAACAAGAAGAAATCTATGTGTAGACTGCCTCATCGGCTCCTGCCCAAGAGTTTCCAGCCTGCTGTACAGTTTGCAAACTTGCCCAGCTAGACTTGTACAGTTCCATAACTGTATACGTCGATTCCTTGTTTTGTTCTCTCTAGAATGGTATTTAGTGTACATTAGGCCTTATTCTATCCTCTATAACTTTCAATCTCTCTTTAATATTTTCCACATCTTATTGGCTCTTTTTCTTGGTAGAATCCTGACAAATACAGGATCTTGCTATTCCCTACCACTATGCTGATGTTATCAGAGATAGAGATAGAAATAAGTCAATTACGTGCTTTCTCCTTGAAAACTTTATAACCTATGGAATATGAAATATGAAAAGTCAGCACTGCAAATTAGGTCGGGTAGCAATATATTATTGTGATAGTCAATTTTAGATATCAATTTGGCTGGAATAAGGGATACTCAGAAAACCAGTAAAGCATTATTTCTGAGTAGATCTGTGTCTGTGAGGATGTTTCCAGAAAAGACTGGCATTTGAATCAGTGGACTGAACAAAGAAGATCTGCCATCCAATTGGTTGAGGACCAGAATAGAAAAGGCAGAAGAGGCCAGGCACTGTGGCTCACGCCTGTAATCTCAGCACTTTGGGAGGCCGAGGAGGGCGGATCACGAGGTCAAGAGATCGAGCCCATTCTGGCTAACATGGTGAAACCCCGTCTTTACTAAAAATACAAAAATTAGCTGGTGTGGTGGTGTGCGCCTGTAGTCCCAGCTACTCGAGAGGCTGAGGCGGAGGTTGCAGTGAGCTGAGATCGTACCACTGCACTCCAGCCTAGCGAAAGATCAAGACTCCATCTCAAAAAAAAAAAAAAAAAGGCATGAAAAGGCAAATTTGCTCTCTCTTCTGGAGCAAGGACATCCATCTTCTCTTGCCCTTGGACATCAGAACTCCAGGTTCTCTGGCCTATGGATTCTGGGAGTTTCATCACAACTCCCCAGGTTCTAAGTCCCTTGGACTTGGACTTAGTGATGCCACTAGCTTCCTTGGTTCTACAGCTGGCAGATGGCACGTCATGGAATTTTTCAGCCTCCATAACCACATTAGCCAATTCTCATTAAAAATCCCTTCATATATCTCTATCTATCTCCTTTTGATTCTGTTTTTCTGGAGAATGCTGACAAATATAATTATTAAGTATCAAATGAGTAGCACTGAATTGAATATTCAAGGAACTTGTTAAAAAAGGAGAGCTCTCTATAGACTTAGAGAATGATCAGGGCAGGCACTGTGGAGGAAATAAGTACAAGAATTAAGAGTAGACATCTTGGTTGAATTCAAGTTGTACATATCTAACTAAGTTTCAATTGCTTCATTGGCTGTTTACTTATAAAAATTTCAAAGTGCCACTGAGTAATTAGACATTCTGCCTGAAGCATAGTGAGGGGAGATGTTAAGCCTCTTAAACTGAAAAAAAAAAACAACAACACTGCAAATGCTGCACTTGGAGTTTGGCAGGCTTAAAAGACTGAATTCCTCTCTACCACTTGGAAGAAGTATGATGTTGAACAAACTGCATACTACTTTAAATCTCAGAGTCTTTATATGTAATATGGGAATAACAGTACATATCTCATCTATTATAAACTCATAGTGAGAAATAAATGAAATATAAGGTTCTTAGCACAATGCCTTTCACAGACGAAGTACTCAACCAATATGAAGTGAATGCAAAAACATATCCATATCTCTAAAAACAATGCGACTGAAACTGAAACCAAAACAATACTAAATTTCACATAATTGTAGGAGGAAGTGTCCTGGATAGATTTTACATCAGTGTTATAAGCTAATTTTTCAAAAGATAAAATATCTGTCTTAAAAAAATTATTTTACCCTGGTTCCAAAATCTGACCAGACATTTTTTTTTAAATAAAGAGATAGGGTATCTCTCTGTCACTCAGGCTGGGTGACCTGATGATAGCTCATCATAACCTTGAACTCCTAAGTTCAACTGATCCTCCCGCCTCAGCTATCCAAAGTGCTGGGATTAGAGGTATGAGCCACTGAGTCTACCCTTGACCAGGCTTTTGTAATTTTACCATTCCCACTTTGTGTAAGAACTACTGGAATACAATTTATAACTGAATTTCCTGTGTACATAAGGCATTTATAATGAAAAAATTATATCATTTAAAAAGTATGTTCTGCATTCATACTACAGTACCTTGAGGGATATCCTTAGGAAAGGAATATTTCTTCTTCTTTACAATAACACCTTTATTTTTCACTTTTCTTGTTCCTGGTGATGCTCTAATAATACAACATATTTCTGATGTATTTGCAGGAAACTGAAAAAGAAAAAAGGCAGATATTGCATAATTCCTCCAAATATTATACTTGTATATTGCTTTATTTCAAATGCAACTAGTCTCAATATCTGTATTTATTAGATATTAATAACAGCAAGCATTTATTAAATGCTTACTCCACTCCCAACAGTAATTGGTTTTAAAACATATGTTCATTTAATATTCACAAGAACCAAGCAAGGCAGATTATATTACCTCCATTTTATAAATGAGAAAAGTTTCAGAGAGATTAATTGACTTACTTAAGGATAGGGAGCAAGTAATGGTAGAGTTGAGATTCAAGCATGCTGAAGTGGGAGAGAAAATTTGCATGTTTTATTGAGTTAAAACACAAATTTAAATTTAACTGAGTTAAACACTAAATTCCTTGATTTCTCAACTCTGGTAATTTTGACAATTTCCCATAATAAAGAAATACTGGCCAGGCATAGTGGCTCATGCCTGTAATTCCAATACTTTGAGAGGGACTCCTTGAGGCCAGGAGGACAAGAGAGAGAGAGAGAGAGAGAGAGACAGAGGGAGAGAGAGAGAGAGAGAGAAACAGCATATCTTGCAGAAGTGATATATCTTCTTTTTCAGAATTCAGAAGCAGAGATGTATTTATCAAGGGCTTTTGCTATTTTAAATAAAGGCTATATAGAAACTTCTTATGTAATTTTTTTTTTTTTTTTTTTTTTTGAGACAGGGTCTCATTCTGTTGCCCAGACTGGAGTCCAGTGGCGTGACCTCGGCTCACTGCAACCTCTGCCTCCCAAGTTCAAGTGATTTTCATGCCTCAGACTCCTGAGTAGCTAAAACTACAGGTGTGTGCCACTACATCCAGCTAATTTTTATGTGTTTAGTATAGACAAGGTTTCACCAGGTTGGCTAGGCTGGTCTCTAACTCCTGACCTCAGGTGATCTGCCTGTCTCGGCCTCCCAAAGGTGCTGGGATTACAGGCGTGAGCCACTGTGCCCAGCCAGAAACTTCTTATGTAATTATTTTTATTTTAAATTTTTGTAAGGACATAGTAGGTATAAATATTTACGCAGTGCATGAGATGTTTTGGTACAGAAATGCAATGCATAATAATCACATCTATGGAAAATTGGGTATCCATCCCTCATTGTTTACATTACAAACAATCCAATTATACTCTTTTATTTTTAAATGTACAATTTAAAATACCAGACTTTTATAATTTTACCATTTCCACTTTGTGCAAGAACTCTTAGAATACAATTTATAACTGAATTTCCTGTGTACATAAGGCAATCTCCTATAGTGCTACCGAATACTAGGTCTTATTCATTCTTTCTATTGTTTTGTACCCATTAAACATCCCCAACTTCCCGCACCAACCCCCACCCCCAGCACCTAGCTATCCTTCACAGTGTCTGGTAACTATCCTTCTATTCTCTATCTCCATGAATTCAATTGTTTTGATTTTTAGATCCCACAAATAAGTGAGAACAAGTGATGTCTGTCTTTACGTGCCTGGCTTATTTACCTTAATATAATGACCCCCAGTTCTGTCCATGTTGTTGAAAATGACAGGATCTCATTCATTTTTATGGCTGAATAGTACACCATTGTGTATGAATACCATATTTTGTTTACCCATTCATCTGTTGATGGACACTTAGGTTGCTTTCAAATCTTGGCTATTGTGAACAGTGCTGCAACAAACATGGGAGTGCAGATATCTCTTTGGTATACTGATAAACATAGGAGTGCAGATATCTCTCTGATACACTTTCTTTTGGGTATATACCCAGCAGTGGGATTGCTGGATCATATGGTAGCTCTATTTTTAGTTTGCTTGTTTGATTCTTTTGCCAAGACAGAGTCTTGCTCTGTTGCCCAGGCTGGAGTGCAGTGGCACAATCTCGGTTCAATGCAACCTCCACCTCCCGTATTCAAGCAATTCTCCTGCCTAGGCTCCCAAGTAGCTGGGATTACAGGTGAGCACTACCATGCTCAGCTAATTTTTGTAGTTTTAGTAAAGACAGGGTTTCACCATGTTGGCCGGGCTGGTCTCAAACTCCTGACCCCCTGATCCACCCACCTTGGCCTCCCAAAGTACTGGGATTACAGGCATGAGCCACTGCGCCCAGCCTATTTTTAGTTTTTTTGAGGAACCTCCAGACAGTTCTCCCTAGTGGTTGTACTAATTGACAGTCCTACCGACAATTTTAATAGGAGTTTCCTTTCTCCACATCCTCACTAGCAACTGTTATTGCCTGAGATTTCGATAAAAGTCATTTTAACTAGGGTGAAATAATATCTCATTGTACTTTTGATTTGCATTTCTCTGGTGGTCAGTGATGTTGAACACTTTTTCGTATGCCTTTTTGCTATTTGTGTATTTCCTTTTGAGAAACGTCTTTTCAAATCTTTTCCCCATTTTTGAATCAGGTTATTAGATTGTTTCCTACAGAGGTGTTTGAGCCCCTGGTTATTAATCCCTTGCCAGATGGGTAGTTTGCAAATATTTTTTTCTCATTCTGTGGGTTGTATGTTCATGTTGTTGATTGTTTCCTTTGCTGTACAGAAGCATTTTAACTTGATGTGATCCTATTTGTGTATTTTTGCTTTGATTGCCTGTGCTAATGGAGTATTATTCAATAAGTATTTCCCCAATGTTTCCTTGCAGTAGCGTCATAGTTTGAGGTCTTAAAGTATTTAATCCATTTAATTTTTTGTATGAGGTAAGAGGTAAGGATCAACTTTCATTCTTCTGCATATGGATATCCAGTTTTCCCAGCATTATTTACGGAAGAGACTGTCTTTTTCCCCTTGTGCGTGGTACCATTATGGAAAATGAGCTTGCTGTAGATATGCGAATTTACCCTGGATCCCCTATTATCGCCACCTGGTCCCACCTTTGACAAGTGGGGATTACCATAATCCAAGGTGAGATTTGGGTGGGAACATAGAGACAAACCATATCAATAGCTTTGGCTATTCTGGATCTTTTGTGACTGAATATAAGTTTCAGAATTGTTTTTCCTATTTCTGTGAGGAATGTCATTGGTATTTTTATAGGGATTCCATTAAATTTGCACATTGCATTGAGTAATATGGATATTTTTTATAATATTGACTCTTCTAATCTATGAACATGAAATATATTTCCATTTTTTGGTGTCCTCTCAAATTTCCTTCATGTTTTATAGTTTTCATTGTACAGATCTTTCACTTCTTTGGTAAGGTAAATTCCAGGATATTTATTTTTATCTGTGGCTATTGTAAAAGGGATTGCCTTTTAAATTTATTTTTCAGATTGTTCACTGTTGGCATATAGAAATGCTACTGATTTTGGTATGTTGATTGTGTATCCTGCAACTTTCCTGAATTTATTTATCAGTTCTAATAACTTTTTGGTGGAAATTTTAGTTTTTTCCAAGTATAAGATCACATTATCTGTAAACAAAGATAATTTGACTTCTTCCTTTCCAATTTGGATGCCCTTTATTTCTTTCTCTTATCTGACTCCTCTAGCTAGGACTTCCAACACTATGTTGAATAACAATGGGGAAAGTGAGCATCCTTATCTTGTTCCGGGTTTAAAAAGAAAGGCTTTCAGTTTTTTCTCATGCAGCATGATACTAGCTGTGCATCTGTCATGTATGGCTTTTATTATGTCTGACAGAGCAGAAGCACCGTCATCTTGCACAAACACTACCACTTTAAGTTCCAGCTCCCTTTCTAGCCTCATGCATTTCAAGGAAATCACTTCTAACTATAAGCAGTCAGAAAGAGCAGACAGTAAAACACAGAAAAGACAGCTCTGGCACAGAGGGAGCTGGGGGAATGTCTCTTGGGTAACTACCAAACTTCATACAATGGGCCACAGTAAAACCGTGGAAGAATCATTACATTCTCCTACTAAACTAACCCCTTTATCTTTACGTAATAACCTGCTTTGTCTTTTATTACAGCTTTTGCCTTTAAATCTGTTTTGTCTAAGTATAGCTTACTGCTCTTTTTTTTGGTTTCTATTGGCATAAAATACCTTTTTCCATCCATTTATTTTCAGTTTGTGTGTATCTTTATAGCTTATTGTAAAGTGTGCTTCTTGTAGGCAACAGATCACTGGATCTTGTTTTTCTTTTTAATCCATTCAGCCACTCTATGTCTTTTCATTGGAGAGTTTAGTCCATTTACATTCAATGTTGTTATTGATAATTAGGGATTTACACCTGCAATTTTATTATTTGTTTTCTGGTAGACTGATGGTCTTCTCTTTATTTTTTCCTTCCTTGCTGTCTTCCTTTTAGTGAAGATGATTTGCTCTTGCAGTATGCTTCAATTTCTTGCTTTTTATTTTTTGTGTATCCATTATATGTTTTTTGATTTGTGGTTACCATAAAGCTTGCAAATATTATAACTTATTATTTTGAACTGATAACAACTTAACACTGATTTGCAAAACATGCAAAAGAATATGAAAACTTGATACTTTAACTTTGTCCCCTTGCTTTTTAACTTTTTTTCTCTTTATCTTTTATTATACTGTCTATGTCTTGAAAAGTTGTTGTAGTTATGATTTACTGCTTTGCTGTTTAGTCTTTCTACTTCAGTCAAGAGAAGTTTACACACTATGATAACAATGTATACTATTCTATGTTTTTCTCTGTGCTTACTATTACCAGTGAGTTTTCTACGTTTAGATGATTTCTTATTGTTTATTAACATAACATCCTTTTCTTTCAGAATGAAGAACTCCCTTTAGCATTTCCTGTAGGAAAGGTCTGCTCTTGATGAAATCCCTCAGCTTTTGTTTATCTGTGGAGATCTTTATTTCTCCTTCATGCTTAAAGGATATTTTTGCCAGATATACCATTCTAGAGTAAAAGTTGTTTTCCTTTAGTACTTTTTTTTTTCCTTTAGCACTTTAAATGTGTCATCTCTCTCTCTCCTGGCCTGTAAGATTTCTACTGTAAAGTTTGCTGCCAGATGTATTAGATCTCTATTTTACATTACTTGTTTCTGT